ATCATCAGCAGCAGCAGCAGCAGCAGCATCAGCATCGTCATCATCAGCATCATCATCAGCAGCATCATCATCATCGCCATCAGTATCATCATCAGCAGCAGCATCATCAGCATCGTCATCATCAGCAGCAGCATCACCATCATCGTCATTGTCATCGTCATCATCATCATCATCATCATCATCATCATCATCATCATCATCATCATCAGAATCAGCATCATCATGACCACCATTATCATCATCATCATCATCATCATCAGCAGCAGCAGCAGCATCCTCATCAACCTCATCATCATCAGCATCACCATCATCGTCATCGTCATCGTCATCATCATCATCAGAATCAGCATCATCATGACCACCATCATCATCATCATCATCATCATCAGCAGCAGCAGCAGCATCCTCATCAGCATCATCATTATCAGCATCATCAGAGCCATCATCATCGGTATCATGAGCAGCATCATCATCAGCATCATCATCAGCAGCATCACCATCATCATCATCATCATCATCAGCAGCAGCAGCAGCATCATCCCCAGCATCAGACTCAGCCTCGTCCTCCTCGTCGTCATCCTCCTCCACCTACCCCTCCACTTCCTCCTCCACCTCTTCCTCCTACTCATCCTCCTCATCCTCATCCTCATCCTCAACCTCATCAGCATCATCAGCATCATCAGCATCATCGTCATCAGTAGCAGCAGCAGCATCATCATCAGCACAATCATCCTCAGCATCCTCATCATCGTCATCATCATCATCATCAGCATCAGCATCATCATCAGCATCACCATCACCATCATCATTATTATCAGCATCAGCAGCAGCATCATCAGCAGCAGCAGCATCAGCATCAGCATCAGCATCATCATCAGCAGCAGCATCATCATCAGCATCATCATCATCATAAGCATCATCGTCATCAGCATCATCATCGTAATCATCAGCATTAGCAGCATCGAAATCATCATCAGCAGCAGCATCGCCATCATCAGAATAGTAAGACGAATAGCAATAAGTTTAATACCAATAATCAGAATGATACGAATAATACTAATAATAATCAGCAGCGGCATCGTCAGCATCATTGTCGTCGTCGTCGTCAGCCTCATCACCACCACCACCATCATCACCACCACCACCATCATCATCATCATCAGCAGCAGCAGCATCATCAGCATCGTCATCATCATCATCATCATCATCATCATCATCAGCATCAGCAGCATCACCATCATCGTCATCGTCATCGTCATCGTCATCGTCATCGTCATCAACATCATCATCAGCAGCAGCAGCAGCATCCAGGGCATCATCATCGCCATCAGCATCAGCATCATAATCATCAGCATAAGCATCAGCATCAGCATCATCAGCATCGTCGCCATTGGCAGCATCATCGCCACCAACAACATTACCATCAGCATGTCCACCAACAACAACCACAAGAGCAACAACAACAACAACAACAACAACCTCAACATCATCAACTACAACGGCATCATCATCAGAATCAGCATCAACATAATCATCAGAAGAATGGCCAGTGCAATCAGCATCATCATCAGGAGCATCATTGTCGGCATCGTCATTATCGTCAGCATCATCATCAGCATCAGAATCATCATCACCATTAACAGCATCATCAGCATCATCAGCATCGTCATCATCATCATCATCAGCAGCAGCATCATCAGCATCATCACCATCATCATAAGAATCCCCATCCTCCTCATCATGATCAGCATCACTAGCATCATGTTCATCAGCACCAGCCTCGTCAACATCCTCGTTATGATCATTATCACCAATAACAGCAACAGCATCATCATCATAAGCAGCAGCACCTAAATCGTCATCATCACCCTCGTCTTCATGATCATCATCATCATCATCATCATCATCATCATCATCATCATCATCATCATCATCATCATCATCATCATCATCATCATCGTCGTCGTCATCATCGTCGTCGTCGTCGTCGTCGTCGTCTTCAGCCTCATCACCACCACCACCATCATCACCACCACCATCATCATCAGAATCAGCATCATCATCAGCATCATCATCATCAGCATCATCACTATCATCCTCATAATCATCGGCATAATCACCAAAGTTTGCTTTTCCGTTTCCTGTTCCCCCTACGCCTCCTCCTTCTCCTCCTCCTTCTCCTCCTTATCATCATCATCATCATCATCATCATCATCATCATCATCATCATCATCATCATCATCATCATCATCATCATCATCATCATCAATGTCTCCTCGTCCTCCTCCTCCTCCTCATAATTTCGTCTCGGGGGTCGACAATCGACCCCCTGACCTCTCCAAGGCCGCGTTGAGACCAGGATTTCAAAGCGAATCCGGCCGTGGCGACAATGAGGCCTCACGAAAGACCAGAAAGTGCGAGTGCGAGGCCTCATCGTGAGGCCTCACGATGAGGAGGCCTCACGATGAGACCTCCCTCCTCCCAGTCCTGTCCCAGCCAGTTTCTCGACCTGCGTCTGGCCGCGGCGACGAGAACTTCCAGAAGCACCCAGGTCTTGATATGCCGTTCTTCCGTCTCCCATGGTCTTCTGGCGCGCACCAAGGGGGGAGGGGGCTCTCTGAGAAGGCGGGGCCTTTCTTAGAGGGCGGGGGCCTTCTCAGAAGGGCATGTGTGTTTCTCGGAAGGCTTATCAAAGTCCCTGGGCCTTTTCAAGAAGCCGCCTGCCTTGTCGGAAGCATCCCCGCCTCCTTAGGATGCCGACCCCACCCCCATTGCGCGCGCCGCTATAAAATTAGGTCGGGCATGTCCCCCTACAAGCGGGCTTGGGACGAAAAACAAAACAAAAAAAACGGCTAAATACCCGAATTGTTTGTCCAAAAATCGTCCCCAGACTACTTTTTAACGATTTTTGAATATTCCCCCTGTAGAGGGACAGGCCCAGGTTAGCTATGAGAGTGGGTGCCGAGGGGCCCCGGCCGTGCGCTGGGTGCCAGAGGCTCCCTCTCGTTCTCTCTCTCTCTCTCTCTCTCTCTCTCTTTCCCTCGAGGGAGCGGGCCCCAGGGACACACAATAGGGGAACAAAAAGTGGCATAAACATAAAAACTCGGAGGTTCGCCCGGATTTCTCGGATCGGCGCTGGGGCCCCCCGGCGGCGCCTCTGGCGCCGCCCCTGGCGCGCTCCGCGCGCCAGGGAGGGGGTCCAGCGCCGATCCAAGAAATCCGCGCGGACCTCCGAGTTTTCATGTTTATGTCACTTTTGTTCCCCTACACAAACAAATAGACACAAATCCAAGGAGCCCCCATATTCTTGCACACTTCCTGGGTTTCTGTTTTCCCGCCCGCTTCCCACATTCTCGCAAAAATCTTCCTGGGAGAATCGACGATTCGTCGTGTCTCTGTTGCTTCTCCCTCGTGACTCTCTCTCTCCCTCGAGGGGAGCGGGCCCCAGGGACCTGCCGGGCGGCAGGCGGCCCTGGAAGCACCGGGGCCGTCCACGAGGGGGGCCGAAGACCCATCGGGGGGACGAAAGAGCGGCGCATCCTACCCATCGCCGTCGTCGGCCCCCCGAGGGGAGGAGGAGGAGGAGGCGGAGGAGGAGGAGGAGGAGGAGGAGGAGGAGGAGGAGGAGGAGGAGGAGGAGGAGGAGGCGGCGGACGCTCGACACCGTGGCTGCTCCACCGCGTGGACCCCCGAGGGCCTCGGCCCCCCTTCCCCGAGGGCCTCGGCCCCTCGTCCCGACCCGTTCGAAGGCCAAGCCCGGCAAGCCCCGGCAAAACGCCCCCCGGAGACCGAAAAAAGACTGCTGCAGAAACGCCCGTCGGCATCTTTAAAGGGAAATTAGGACACACAAATAAATACACACAAATAAAATTAGTCCCCATATTTTCCCATATTTTCTGGGTTTTTGTATTCCCCCCCAATTCCCATATTTTCCCATATTTTCCTGGGAATCGAGGATTAATTGTGTCTGTGTGTTTTTTTCCCTCCTGAATCTTGGCGGCGCACGCAAAGAAAGAGGGCACTCTGGATCTCTTAACAAGCGTGGGGGGGGCCCCCCCGACGGGGGTCAGTCTCGCCTCGTCGTCGCGCCGCGACGGGGGTCGGAGCGCCTTCGGCGCGCGGTGGCTGCCCGCGACGGGGGTCGATGTGGGGCTGTCAGCGGGGGGGGCGCCCTCCCGACGCTGATTGAGAAACTCGGAGCAGTCAGGGGGAGGGGGGGAGGCTTCTTAGAAGGATGCTGCTTCTCAGGAGGCGCCGGCCTTTGTTTGCCAAAAAATTGCTTATTCATGTAACTACAAACCAAAAACAAACAATTCAAAAAAAACAACAAAAATACACACAACAACAAAAAAACGTCCCATGATTATTTTTGACTATTTCCCAACCATCCTGTGGTGTTGGGTCCTCGTTTTGAAGAGACAGCGCCCCGCGTCTCACTCCTCCTCCTCTCCTCCTCCCTCCCTCCCTCTTGGCACATACCTTACACATTTCGTGGCCCCACAGGAAGCTCCACCTAAGGGCCCCGCTGGCGCAGTTCGCATGGCGGCGCCGCCCCATTTTAACACACCCCTCACACGTTCCGTGGCCCCACAGGGAGCACCACCTAAGGCCCCACTGGCGCAGTTCGCATGGCGGCGCCGCCCCATTTTGACACACCCCTCACACGTTCTGTGGCCCCACAGGGAGCTCCACCTAAGGCCCCCACTGGCGCAGTTCGCATGGCGGCGCCGCCCCATTTTGACACACCCCTCACACGTTTCCTGGCCCCACGGAGAGCTCCACCTAAGGCCCCACTGGCGCAGTTCGCCTGGCGGCGCCGCCCGAAGGCCCCAGTGGCAGCGCCCGCATGGCGGCGCCGCCCCACTTCGGCACACCCCGCACACGTCTTGTGGCCCGTAAAAGGGGCTTCACCGAAGGCCCCAATGGCAGCGCCCGCATGGCGGCCACGCCCCATTTCGGCACACCCTTCACGCGCTTCCTGGCCCCGTAAGGAGATCCACCGAAGGCGACAGTAACAACGACGGTATTCACAACTGCACATGGTTGGGTCCTTCGCCAGGCTAACTTTGAATACTCCTCCTGTAGAGGGAAGTGCCAGACTCAACCCTGGGCAGGAGTGGCCATGGATGCGCGGCTTTCCGGGGCCGCGGCGGAGCCAGATTTTCAAGTGCGCAGGCCTGTGCTGGAGCCATCCCTGTGGGCCCGCACCAAATGTCACTCCGGCGAGAGGTCATTCCCGCGAAAAGTCACTCCTTCGGCGGGATTTCTTCGCGTGCCCCAACGACTTGGCGACCTCCCATCGTCTGGAGGCAAGCGCCGCCATCGGACAGACGGTCATTCTGGCGGTCTGGCATGTCTAGAGGAGGGAAACAACGGCATCAGCATGAACCTTCTGAGGTCTGCGAGGGTTTCTTGGATCTGCCCTGGACCCCCTACCTGGCGCGCGGAGCGCGCCAAGGGCGGCGCCGCGCGGGGTGCCAAAAGTTTATGCTTATGCAGTTTTTCCCTTCTCCCAACGCGAGAACGAGAGTTGATCTGAACAACGATCAAAACCGGGTCTTGCGCAAGATGGCATGGGCACCTTGCGCGGCGGCATACGCGGGCCGCCACCGCGGCACGCCACATCGGCAACGAAGGCGCTCACGCGCGGCCTAACGCGGGCAGCTTACGCGGCGAAGCCGAACCGTCGCTCCTCGGCGGGGGGGACGAAGAGAGGGAAGGAGGAGGAGGAGGAGGAGGAGGCGGAGGAGTAGCAGCAGCAGCAGCAGCAGCAGGAGGGGGTCGGAGGAGGAGGAGGAGGAGGAGGGGGAGGAGGAGGAGGAGGAGGAGGAGGAGGAGGAGGAGGAGGGGGAGGAGGACGAGGAGGAGGAGGAGGAGGAGGAGGAGGAGGAGGAGGAGGAGGAGGAGGAGGAGTAGAAGGTCGCTGTCACGCGTGCGCGCGCGCGCCCCCCGCGGCGAGACGCCTCGCCGCCGCCCGCCCGGGGCGGGGAGCCCGGGAGCAGGCCGCCCGCCGGCGGTGGCACCTGGCGCGGCGCCATCAGCGGCGGCGCGCGGAGCGGCCACCGCCGCCGCCGCGGCCGCCGCGGCCGCCGCGGCCGCCGCCGTTGTCGTCGCCGTCGTCGTCGTCGTCGCCTCCCGTCGCCGTCGCCGTCGCCGTCGCGTCGTCGTCGTCGTCGTCGGCGTCGTCGTCGTGTCGTTACGTCGTCGTCGTCGTCGTCGTCGTCGTCGTCGTCGTCGTCGGTCGTCGTCGTTCGTCGTCGTCGTCGTCGTCACGTCGTCGTCGTCGTCGTCGTCGTCGTCGTCGTCGTCGTCGTCGTCGTCGTCGTCGTCGTCGTCGTCGTCGTCGTCGTCGTCGTCGTCGTCGTCGTCGTCGTCGTCGTCGTCGTCGTCGTCGTCGTCGTCGTCGTCGTCGTCGTCGTCGTCGTCGTCGTCGTCGTCGTCGTCGTCGTCGTCGTCGTCGTCGTCGTCGTCGTCGTCGTCGTCGTCGTCGTCGTCGTCGTCGTCGTCGTCGTCGTCGTCGTCGTCGTCGTCAAAGGAGGAAGAGTGGGGGCAAAAAAAAGGCGAGGAGGAGGGGGACAAGAAGGAGGAGGAGGAGGAGGGCGAGGAGGAGGGAGAGGGCAAGGAAGAGGAGGACGAGGAGGAGGAGGCAAAAGAAAGAATAAGAAGGAGAACAACAACAACAACAACAACAACAACAACAACAACAACAACAACAACAACAACAACAACGACAACAACAACAACGACAACGACAACGACAACGACAACGACAACGACAACGACAACGACAACGACAACGACGACAACAACAACAACAACAACAACAACAGAAAATGTCCTAGCTCAAGAGGCCCCGCGGGGGGGGGGGCAGGACACAAATACGTTTAGCGCGGCTCACTGCGTGCGAAATGCACTCTGCTCGCGAGCCGGCGACACGATGCCATCCACGTATATCAGCATGTTCGGCCTACCGGCGCAGCGAGCTCTCCCATTCTATCCACGGGCGGCACGACGGTCGAAGAGGCCTGTGGCACACGTTACGCATGGAAGCCATCCACTCGCCATCTCTCCACCTCGTGTCTCTCCAGACCCGCGAGTTCCCCGGCAGCCTCGCCACGTGGCCCACCCACAGCCACGTCCGTCTGGCGCGGGCCCGCTGCCAAGCGCGGGCTCCTGCGCCCGACGTCGTGTGCCGAGCTCTCCGGGTGGCGCGCTGGACCCGCTCATGCCACGCCTCATCAGGCGCCCGCCTGAAACAGCAGATACACCGTAACATCCTGTTCTGGGTGGCCGTGAGAGGCCTGGACTCCTCTGCCCGCGGTGTCCACGAGCTCGATCCGTAAAGCATGCAGCTTCCAACAGTCGCATCGAAAAGCCGCAGTCGCCAGGATAGGGATACCTCGTTATTCGTCTGTCTGCATAGGCTTCTTTGACCAAAAGTTGCGCCATGACAAGGCAATGCGGTGGTCCAACTCTGCCGCCGTGACACCCGTCAGCGGTAACATTGCGCCCAACACTTCCAAGCCCTCTCCCTCCATGAGGAGGAGGAGGAGGAGGAGGAGGAGGAGGAGGAGGAGGAGGAGGAGTGTGAGGAGGAGGATCGAGGCTTTCGGACGTTCTGAATTCATTTTGGGGGGGCTCCTGGTGGCCTCCGTAAGCCTTCTGGGAGCCGCCTGGGGGACCTCCAGGGACGCCTCCTGCGAGCCTCTGGAAGCCTCCGGAGGTTTCCGGAGACGTCTGGGAACCGACGGGGCCTGCGGTAGAGTCCCACCAGCCCTCTGGGCGTCGGAGGTTTAGGGCGTTTCCTCTTCCACCCCGGCAAACCCGGCAAACGTGCGGAAGAATGGTCATGAACAATTGTTTGGACATTGCTGGCACCCCTGCCCGTCTTGCTGACTACTTCCGCCCGGAGGGCGGTGCAGCACCGGCATGGGAGTCAGCTGTCCGCGCATGGCACCTTTGATCTCTGTGCTGTAGCATACTGTCTTGCTTGCGCACCGTCTGGTGCAAGGCGACCTGACTGACTGACTGACCTCTTCCACCCCTCCCTCTTCCCCTTCGGCGAGGGGTTTACCCCTCCACCTACCCCCTACCCGTGGACCTGGACGGGAGGGGCGGGGAGGTGTCAGAGGGTAGATTTTCGCCCAAGTTGGCTCCAAGAGGGCCTCAGAGAGCCCAAGATAGCCTCCAAGATGGCTCAAGACAGCGCAAGATGCCTCAAGATGGCTCCGAAGATGCTCAAAGACGCTCCAAGACCGCCCCAAGATGGCTCCAAGTGTCCAAAAGAGCTCCCCAAGGATGCCCCCAAGAGGCCCAAATGCTTCAAAACCCTTGGGATAATCAATGTTGTTAGCTTTCTCGCCTTCGCGCTTCCGATGCCCATCCGAGGTGACAACATAGCTCCAAGATGGCCCAAGAGAGCCCCAAGAGGGGCCCAAGAGAGCCCCAAGACGGCCCCAAGAGCGCCCAAGAGCGCTCCAAGAGCGGCCCAAGAGCGCTCCAAGAGGCGATGTGGGGAGCTCCCGAGGGGGGACCGTAATTAAGGAACCCGCCTTTGTTGATCGATCTCCTCCAAGATGGCCCCAAGAGACGTCTTGGACCCTCCTCGTGGGCCCTGCGCGCGGGCGGGCGGGGCGCCGCCCGCCCGCCCGCAAGGCCCAAGAGCCCACCAAAACGCCTCAAGAGACCTCCAAGACGCCACCAGGAGAAAGAGGAAGAGAAGGAGGAGGAGGAGGAGGAGGAGGAGGAGGAGAACAACTGCCGATGATCGGCGCTCTTCGTTCGAATACCTGGTGTTGGATGGGCTGGTAGGGATGCGCGAAGCGTCAACAATTTCCAGTGGGGCCACTGTGGAGAGAGAAGGAGGAGGAGGAGGAGGAGGAGGAGGAGGAGGAAGAAGAGGAGGAGGAGGAGGAGGAGGAGAAGGAAGAGGAAGAGAAGGAGGAGAAGGGGGTCGAGGAGGAGGAGGAGGAGGAGGAGGAGGAGGAGAAGGACGGGAAAAAGAGTGGGGGACAACGCTTCGCGTGACCCCCCACCAGCCAATACAGAAACGATGCCCCGGCGAGTTGCCCTGACCAGGGATGTGGAGGAACACCCAGTGGAATAAAGGACCAGGGAAGCCGTCATACGCCAACGGGGGAAGGATGGAGAAGGAATCGGAGGAGGAGGGGGGGAGCGAGGGAGGAGAGAGGAGGAGGAATTGTCGGATGAGGAAGAGGAGGAGGAGGAGGAGGAGGAGGAGGAGGAGGAGGAGGAGGAGGAGGAGGAGGAGGAGGAGAAGGAGGAGGAGGAGGAGGAGCAGCAGAAAGGCCTGAGTCCTAGGCCAAGTGGCCCCAAAGTTCAAGAATAGATGATGTGTTTTCTCGCCGAAACCATCTTGGACGCTCCAATGGTTGGCAGCCCCCCCGTCCAAGTCCAGGGGAAGGGGTACGGGGGAAAGGTCGAATTCCCGGCGGGAACGCCGAAAGCTGTCTCGTTCATCCCCACCCGCCCTTCCATTACACAACGAACACCCGAGTTTCAGCATAGGCAGGGGCCGCCATCGATAACCGTCGGGAACCAATGCTGATGCCAGCCAACTGCGCGACGCCCGCGACATGCGCCGCAAACGCCTGGGTTTGCCAACCTCATGTGTTGAGTGCGCGCGCACGCGCAATGCCTTTGCACGTTCCCCTACCATCCTGCGGTGTTGGGCCCTCGTTTTGGAAAGACGGTCTTCGCGCTCCTCCTCTCTTCCTTTCCTGTCCTCCTCCTCTCTTCCCCCTCCTCATTCCCCGTCCTCTCTCCACTTGTCACTTTCTCATTTTAGCACAGCCCTCACACGCTTCGTGGCCTCACAAGGAGCTCCACCTAAGGTCCCAGCGACGAACCGCGCATGGCGGCGCCGCCCCATTCTGGTTCACACCTCATACGTTTCGTGGCCCCACAGGGAGCCCCACTCAAGGTCCCAATGGTGCAGTTCGCATGGCGGCGCCGCCCCATTTTTGGCACACCCCTCACACCTTCGCGGCCCCATCGGGAACCCAGTTAAGGTTCCACTGGTGCAGTTCGCACGGCGGCGCCGCCCAATTTTGGCACACCCCACACACACGTTTCGTGGCTCCATCGGGAGCTCCATCTACGGTCCCAACGGCGCAGTTCGCACGGCACGCCCTCACACGTTTCGTGGCCCCACAAAGAGCTCCACCTAAAGTCCCAATGGTGCAGTTTGCATGGCGGCGCCGCCCCATTTTGGCACACCCCACACAGGCTTCGTGGCTCCATAGGGAGCTCCACCAAAGGTACCAGCGGCGAACTGCGCATGGCGGCGCCGCCCCGTTTTGGCACATCCCTCGCACGTTTTCGTGGCCCCTTGTGGAGCTCCACCTAAAGTCCCACTGGCGCAGTTCGCATGGCGGCGACGCCCCATTTTGGCACACACACACACACACACACACACACACCATCACACTCTTCGTGGCCCCATAGGGAGGTCCCACTGTTTGGCCTGGCTCGCGCCGCGGACGACCCGCGCGCGTCGCTGGGACCCTCTCGGGGCGACCACCGAGCGTCGCGGAAACTCCGCGCGGCGCTCTGCCCAGCCCCTGGCTCGCCCGTCGTCGCTCTGCCCAGCGCCAGATCCTCGCCCGCCATCAGCCAGCCAGCTCGCCCTCTTTGCTCCGCGCCGCAGACGACCCGCGCGCGCGGCTGGGACCCTCTCGGGGCGACCAGCGCGCGTCGCGGAAACTCCGCGCGGCGCTCTGCCCAGCGCCTCGCACGCCCGTCGTCGCTCTGCCCAGCGGCCAGATCCTCGCCCGCCATCAGCCAGCCAGCTCGCCCTCTTTGCTCCGCGCCGCGGACGACCCGCGCGCGTCGCTGGGACCCTCTCGGGGCGACCACCGAGCGTCGCGGAAACTCCGCGCGGCGCTCTGCCCAGCGCCTTGCTCGCCCGCCGTCGCTCTGCCCAGCGGCCGGACCCTTGCCCGCCATGAGCCAGCCAGCTAGCTCTCTTTGCTGACCGGCGCGCGTCGCGGGAACTCCGCGCTGCGCTGCGCTTGCAGCCTTGGACCTTGGAGTGCAAGGGCAAAGAGGGAGAGAGAGAGAGAAAGAGAGAGAGAGAGAAAAAAAAAAAAAAAAAAAAAAAAAGGAAGGAAGCGGGCGCTATCCTCGTGAGGGGCGTGCCGACATGGGTGTCGCGGCGCGCGGGCGCTGCCATCAGGGTTTCCGGGGGGGCTCCCTGTGGCAGCCACGCTCAGCGCCACGAGTTCGCAGAGCCAAGCATACACAAACCGTTCACATTCATATACACTTACACTCGGTGTAGCCGCGCTCGCAGAATAGACCCACTCGCACGCAGACTCGCTCACAATCAGACTCACTCGCGCTCAGGCTCACCCGCGCTCAATCACACGTGTTCAGACCTATCGTTTTCGCTCGTGTTGTTTCCCCCGCCACAGAGTTCGTCACGCCCTCATGCGGTTCGTGGCCCACTAGGGAGCGCCACCGAAGACGATACTCACAATTGCGATACTCACAACTGCATATGGTTGGGTCCCTCGCAAGGCTAATATGGTGGGCTTGCACACAGCAGGCAATGTGGCGGTCCCTCCGCCGCCGGTCAAGAATCAATGCAAAGTGATCGCGTGGCGCCAGCGCATTCTCCTCATTGTGGTGCGAGTTGCCTTTCGTATTGTTTTTGCTAGGGGTGGGGGGGTCTGGCATTGCACACAGCAGGGAATGCGCCGCCCCCCCGCAGCCCCTTGCCAAAAACCATACAAAGTGTTCGCGGGGCGCCCACGCATGATCCTGATTTTGGTGCAAAGTGCACTTTGTCTTGTTTTTGGAAGAGATCATGGGAGCGTGCTGGCATTGCAGACAGCAAAGTCCGCCGACACCCCCACCATCCCTGTCGAAAACCAATGCCAAGTGATCGCGCGGGGCGTCCGCGCATGATCCAGAGTTTGGTGCAACGTCCACTTTGTATTGTTTTCCGATCGGGATGGTGGGGAGTGTTGGGCCTGCACTCAGCAGGCAACACGCCGACACCCCCACCGTCCCTCTGTCAAAATCCAATGCAAAGTGATCGCGGAGCGTCTACGCATAATCCAGATTTAGATGCAAAGTGCACTTTGAATGGTTTTTTACTCTAGACGGCGGGGGGGGGGCACTGTCCCTGGTTTGTCGCTGGTCGGAGCTTGGAGGGGGGGGGGTAACCAAAAAGAAACGATGCAAAACCCTCCCCGAAGGGGAAGAACGGGGGCTGGAAGAGGAAACTCGCAAGCTCACCCGCACCCAGAGCTCCAGCGCAAGGAGCCCTCGCGCCTCCTCCGCAGCCCTCGAGCCCCTCGCCTGCCACACCGCCTTGGGGCGGGCCCCTGCGCGACCGCGACCAGAGAGAGCCCTGGGGCGCCTCCTGGGTGCCTCTGGAGACTCCTGGAGGCCTTCGCGAGCGCTCGGAGAGGGCGGAGACGAGGAGGCGGAGGGCGGAGCAGGAGGCCCGGCGCAGCGGGGCACCTGGCGGGGCAGGCTCATCAGCGACGTCGCCAGCGACGCCGCGGAATCCTGGCAGCGGCTCGAGGCGGGCCCCCCGGAGAGCGGGAGTGGGAGCAGACTGGGCGGAGAGCAGGGCGCAGCCAGGATTAGATCGGGCCCATCCCCCTACAGGCGGATTCTGGACGAAAACGTGTTCGACTAATGTTCAAAAATGGTATTTGTTTTTTTTTTTTTTTTTTAAAAAAAAAAAAAAAAAAAAAAAAAAAAAAAAAAAAAAAAAAAAAAAAAAAAAAAAAAAAAAAAAAAAAAAAAAAAAAAAAAAAAAAAAAAAAAAAAAAAAAAAAAACTGAAAATCGTCCACCTGACAAATTATATAAACTGTTTTAAACATTCCTCCTGTAGAGGGACACGCCCGACTGAAAGGCAGGAGCTGACGACTTTGGATGCTCCTCGACTCGCGAGTGGCTGGTCCACGAGCTGTCGAGCTGACTGAGAGCTGGGCCCCCGAAGCATGAGGGGCCCTGCGCGCTCGCTGCGCGGTCGACGCGGCGCAGCCCCTCTGCAACCAGCGCGGTGAATCCGGGATAGGGGGCCACATGCGAGCCCTACCCCTACCCCCCACGACTTCTGAGGGGGAGGGTGGGGTTCACTTCGTCTGGAGCTCCCGAGCGAAGTGAACCCCACCCTCCCCCTCAGAAATCGTGGGGGGTAGGGGTAGGGTTCGCATGTGGCCCCCTACCTGGAGCACCAGCCGTGACGGCACCACCCAAAGGGCACCGCGACGGGGACCGAAAAGCGCAGCAAATGACGGAGCAGATGGCGCCTTATCAGCTTCCCGACGCTCCAAGACAGGCCAGGAGGCCCCCAAGACCGCCCCAAGATAGCCCAAGAGGCCTCCAAGAAAGCGCAAAACGACCCAAGAGGGACCCAAGACCGACCAAGAAGCCTCCAAGATAGCCGAAGAGGCCCCCAAGACGGCTCCAAGAGAGAGCCCAGACAGGGGACCCGAACTGTCATTTCGAGCCCTCGGCCTGAGAAGCTCCCAGGAGGCCCCGAGAGGCCACTAAGAAGCCCCCAAGAAGTCCCAAGAGGCCCCCAAAAGAACCCCAGGAAACCCCAAGAGGCGCCCTCGAGGCTCCCAAGCGGCACCCAAGAACCTCCCAAGAGGCACCCAAACTACCCCAAAGAGGCCCCCGAGAGCGCTCGTCGTCGTCGTCGTCGTCGTCGTCGTCGTCGTCGTCGTCGTCGTCGTCGTCGTCGTCGTCGTCGTCGTCGTCGTCGTCGTCGTCGTCGTCGTCGTCGTCGTCGTCGCCATTCAAGGTCGGTGGCACCACCCGTAGGGCCTTCGCAATCGCAAATGACGGATCAGATGGCGCCAACGACAGCGCCAAACGCATAATTAGGACGCCAGGGCAAGAAAGAGAAACTCGAGACCTTCGAGGCATCACAGGGCACCCAACCGACGAGCGCAACCCACAGGGCACCAAGGCAAGAACTGGAAATTGCAACTTCCGATTCCAATTCCAATTCCGACTCCTGCCGAAGCGGCCAAGAAGAACATTGGACTCTCCTCCTTCTCCCTCCTCCTTCTCCTCCTCCTCCCTGGGCTCCTCCCTGGGCTCCTCCCCTCCTCCTCCTCCTCCTCCTCCTCCTCCTCCTCCTCCTCCTCCTCCTCCTCCTCCTCCTCCTCCTCCTCTACCACCTCATCGTCACCAACACCAGCTGGACCACCACCATCACCACCACCACTGCCACCGACACCATCATGATTGGGCTAATAATCGCAATCCCTCCTCATCCTCCTCCTGCTCCTCCAGGGGTGGGAGTACCACAACGTCCTGTGACACGAGGCATCGGGTATGGCAATTCCGTCGTCCCTGCCAGGGACCCACAACAGCCTCACTACGACAGAAGGCAGATGGCCCCTCTGAGCACTGGGTCATGACGTCCGCTCCGCCTGACGAATCCGTTCCTCAACCCAAGGCAGGCAGCAATGGCTGCAGCAAGATATGGCGGATGGAGGAGGAGGAGGAGGAGGACGAGGAAGAGGAGTAGGAGGGAGGGAGGAAGGAAGGAAGGAAGGAAGGAAGGAAGGAAGGAAGGAAGGAAGGAAGGAAGCAAGGAAGCAAGGAAGGAAGGAAGGAAGGAAGCAAGGAAGGAAGCAAGGAAGGAAGGAAGGAGGAGGAGGAGGAGGAGAGTGTGGAGAAGGAAAGGGAGGTCGTCTGCTACCACGACCCGCCTGGGGGCGCCGGCGTCGCCGCTGGGCGCGCCGCGGCGGCCCCTCCTGCCGCCCTGGGGCGCAGCACAGCGAGCGACCTCGAGCAGGCTGCGCGCTCGGCCGGCCGCGGCCTCAGCAAGAAGCACTGGGCCTCGAGAGGGCCGCGCCGCTCGCTGGCCCTCGAGCCACGGAAGAGGCCCCCGGTCGCCCGAGGCGTCCTCGGCGAACGGCCCGAGCCCGCGAGCCGCAGCCCCCGGCCCAGGCCGAAGGAAAAAACAGGCCTCTGACGGCCGCGCCCGCGCCCGGCCGCCCTTCGGGCGGTGAGCGTGTTCTCCTTCGGCGCTGCGACGCTGGGCAGAAAGGGGGGGGGAGGGGGCGGCCTTGCTCTGGGCCTCTGCTGAGATGCGACGGTTCGCAAGAGTGCGTCCAGTGAGGGGGAGACTCCACCTGCTTGAGCCAGGCGCCAAAAACAGCCAAGACCTACTCCATGGGGGGGGGGACGGGGTGCGGGGGCCCGCGCCGATCGGCAAAACAATGGATAAGAAAACGATCACATGATGAGGAGGTTGTGGGGCAGGGGGGAGTTCAGCCTGCGGTGTGCGATGCGGGTAGGATCGGACTCGGCGGAAACCTGTTGGGCACCACGGAGCACCTGTTTGGTCATGTGTCTATCGCGGTCTCTCTCTCTCTCTCTCTCTATCTCTATCTCCCTATCGCTCTCACTGTCGATCTCCACTCATTCCCCAAACAGTCCTCAAAGGTAAGGGCTCTTACTTCTGGAAAAGGACTTGGGCCTGTCTGTTGGTCTGGCAGCTATTTAGCCGCCGCCGCAGGTTCGTCGCCGCCAGTCGTCTGGGCCTGTGTGTCGGTCTAGCGGCCCTGTAGCCGCCGTCACCCTCCCGTCGCCACCCCGTCGCCGCCTCGTCGCCGCCCGTCGCCGCCGCTGGATTGCACCACATAGATTGCACGACCAAGAAATCGCGTCTGCGGGGGGCGCTTCTTGATCGCTGGCAATATCAGCTTCACCACATGTAGTGTAGACCATGGATTGCACCACATGCATTGCAAAAAAAACAAATATTGCACAACCACATATACAGCACCACAACGATTGCACAACATAGACTACACTACATATATTGCACAGCAAAGGTTGTACCGCATAGGTTGCACAACATAGACTGCACACACTAGAATGTCCTACATAAATTGCACCGTATAAATTACACCATATACATAGTGCACCACATAGATCATACAACCTAGATTGCACAACATGTATTGCTCGGAACTCACTGTTTGGCACCCACACTTGCTAATATCAAATTATCGTTATCATGATCTATCGCCCTCACCGTCGACTTCAATATCGATGTCATTATCGATTTGTCGATCGATCTCACTGTCGACCTCAATATCAAACTCACAATCGACCTCACAAGACACCACGGGACACCAGGGACACCGCGCCGCAGGACACCGCGGGACACCGGCGGGACACCGGCGGGACACCCCCAAGTCACCGCCCTGGCAACGGCGGGCTCTTTCCTCTCGCCCGTCCACCCACCCTCGCCTCGCCCGCACGAACGACGCGAACCAGAAACCCAAACTGATTTCAAGGTGGGTGGGGGGGGGGCGCCTCCTGCTTCTCCTCCAGACGAGCCTCCTCCTCCTCTCCTCTTCTCCTCCTCCTCCTTTTCGTCCTCCTCCTCTCCTCCTGCTCCTCCTCCTCCTCCTCCTCCTCCTCTCCTCCTCCTCCTCCTCCTCCTCCGACTCCTCTCATCATCATCATCATCCTCCTCCTCCTCCTGCTCCTCTGCTCCTCTCCTCTCCTCCTCCTCCTCCTCCTGCTCCTCCTCTCCTCCTCCTCATCATCCTCCTCCTCCTCCTCCTCCAACTCCATTCTGCGCGGGGGGGAAGAGCGGAGGGACAGGAGTGGGAAGAGAGTTCGCCCGCGCCCCGCGCTCCGAGGCAGCGGCTCGCTCCCGCCCCCCCCCCCGCTCGCTCCCGCCGTGGGCCGTGAGTGCTGCCGAACTTAGGGCCCCCGCTGGCGGCCGCCAGCTGCATCCGCCTGAAGCCTCCGCTGGAGGCTCGGAGATGCCAAGAGACAGAGAAGAGGGGGTGGAGGAGGAGGAGGAGGAGGAGGAGGAGGAGAAGGAGGAGGAAGAGGAGGAGGAGGAGGAGAGGAGGCATAGGAGGAGGAGGAGGAGGAGGAGGAGGAGGAGGAGGAAGAGGAGGAGGAGGAGGAGGAGGAGCAGGGCAGAGGAGGAGGAGGAGAAGAAGAAGAGGAGAGACGAGGGGAAAAGGAGGTGGGGGAGGAGGCGAAGGGAGGGAGAGGATGAGATGGGAGGAGAAGGAGGAGGAGGAGGAGGAGAGGGATAGGGAGGAGGAGGAGGCTCCACGAGGTCGCGTCGCGGACGTCTTCCGCAGACCAGAAATCCTCCTTGGATATGCCCTCGCCCACGAGCACGGAGTCGTCGCTGAACGAGACCATGCCGAAGCGCGCCAGAGGACCGTCATCTTTCCCCTGCCTACGGAGCGTGGGCAGATAAGGCGGAGGAGGAGTTGGTCCATGTGCTGGGTGCCGACCTGGTGAAGATGGGGAGCAGGAGTAAGGGGCCTCAGCTAGTCTGGAAGAGCTTAGTTGGGCGGGACATGCAACCTAGGTATCCTGAGCATCGCGCCATCCAGTGGCTGGTGGCTCAGTTTAGAGCGTTCTTGGGGCTGCAGCGGGCCAACCAAGGTTGTGGAGACCAGGCCGCCAGCTTGCGTGCTTTGCTTGTCAGTCCCCCCTCCTCCATTGCCAGCCATTCGGACAAGTATGTTCATCATTTTAGTCGTGTCAGAGAATACTTGCTCACGCTGAAAGGAGATTCCCGCCAGGCCCCCCTCGACAAAATCATCTGTGGTGAAGAGCTTCTCGACACCCTGTTTGTGGTCCTTGAGGGGGCCAATGGAGGGTTCAGGTCTCGAGCCCAGGCGGACTGGAGAGCCTGGCTCACCGAGGGCATAGATCAAGGAGCTCGCAGGGTCCACGCCATCGCCCGAGACCCCTCCCCTTGGTCCCTACCACGACTCTTGCTCGAGATGGATCGGTCGTTGTCGACCCCTTCTCGCTCCTTGCCAGCGAAGGTTCCAAGTTTGCTAGTTTTTGGAAGGAAGGTTTGGGCAACCCCTCCAGCTGTACGTTAGTTGAAGCGCTCCCCCGCGCTGACCCTGCCCAGCTTAGGTCAGTCAGCAAGAAGTACAAGAGAACTTCGGCGGTCACCTACGATGGTTTCGACTGTCGTCATTTACACTTCTTGTGTGACGATGGATTGATGGCGCTTGGCATGCTGTTTCAGCTGATGGAATCGGTTGGCCAGCTTCCCCGTCAGATCTCTGCCGTGCTGCTTGCTTTGCTCTCGAAGCCCAACGGTGGTTACAGGCCGATAGGGGTGTTCTGCTCCTGGTATAGGGTCTGGAGGGCGACTCCGGCGCCCCCGGGCCCCATACTGGGAACAGCAACACCCCCGTCGGTACTGGGCTGCTTGGGCGTTTCGTGGAGCTGCGGATGTGGTGTGGCGTCAGGCGTTCCGTGCTGAAACCAGTACCTCCAAGGGTGAAGAGAGTGCTAGCGTGTTTTATGACATGCTCAAATATTACGAAACGATTGATCTGGATGTTCTTGAGCAGCGTTGCCATCTGCACCAGTTTCCGTTAGTGCTGACCCGTCTCTCGCTCTATGCGTACAGGTGCGGACGTTTCGTTTCTCTTGCTGGTCTGCTTGATGGACCTTTTTTTGTTCAGACAGGGGTGATTGCGGGATGCAGCATGGCCACTACGCTCATTCGCATTTACAGTATGTCTTCCTTGGATAAGCTCCCCTCTTACCCCTCCCAGGAATTCGACATTTACATTGATGACACGGGCATTTCTTGCACTGGTACCCGCAAACATGTTGTCTCCTCCATTGTTGCTGTTTCCTCGGCCCTCCATCATGCTATTACTGATGAAGGAGAGATGAACTGTCAACTCGCTTTAGACAAGGTTTGCACTGTTGCTTCGTCCAAGGGTCTTGCCAGAGCTTTGTCGGATGCCCTAGGCCAACTAGGAGGAAAGATCACTGACTCAACGGTCAACCTCGGCGTTGACTATTGTGCTGGAGCTTCAGTCAAAGCTTCGGGGCGATGTTCTAAGCTCAAGAGCAGGTTGGCTCTCCTCTGCAGGAAGGCTAGGCGCATCAAGCGTCAGGCAGGCAACCTCGGTCGAAAAGCCCTCAGGGTGTTCGCTTCGGGTCCCCTCCCTGGAGGGGCCTATGGGGCGGACATCCTGGGTGTTAGCGACCAGGTCCTCCAGACGATGAGGCGGCGAGCTTTTTCGACCATCAGGCCCTTTGCCAAGAGTAGGTCTCTCACGGCTGTCAGCATCCTGTCGGATGACCCGTGCTGGCGAGCTGCCTGTGCCCCTGTGTTGAGATGGAGCAAGGAGGTGTGGTTGGCGCAAACGCATGAGTACCCCTGGTCCATCCCCCACAGAGAGCTTCGAGATGGCTTTAGGAGCGTCTTTTCTCTTCCTAGAACCACATGGCCGACTGTCAAAGGCCCTGTCTCTGCCCTCCGTCTTACCCTGCTTAGGTTGGGCTGGATCATGGAGGACTATGTCACTATTTCGGATGACCGTGGTTATCGTTTGCAGCTCGGTTTGATCCCCCCTAAGCTTTTGGAGACTTTGTGCAAGGAAGCGTACTTTCGGGGGCTCGAACGGGACCTTGGGGAAAAATGGGACCTGGAGTGTAGAGCGTGCCTGGACATCCCCAAAGCTGCCTGCAGCAGTAAGAAGTGTACCCCAGCCCAGCGGGGCTGGATTCGGGCCTGTTCGTGCGATGCTATCTGGTCTGCGGACAAGGCCCTAGAGTGCGGTTATCAAGTTTGCTCGGTGTGCCCTCTCTGCTCTGCCGCGCCCGACTCTGTTTTTCACAGGCTCTGGCAATGCACGGCGACGGCGGTACAAGAGTTGAGGGCCCAGTTGGTCCCGCCCTCAGTCGTCACTGATGCGATTGATGTTTGGACGGCTCAGGCGGAACCTGACCCTCACGTTCGCGCTCTGTATACGAGAGGAGCTTTCGCTCACCCCGCCGATGTTTTGCCGCGTCCTGCCGTGGAGGGTACGAATGCTTTGCTCTACGTGTGGCATAGCAAAGAGCTCCCCAGCCCAGAAGGCCCCAGGGTTCCTGAGAACGGGGAAATGTGGGGTCATGTCTTCATTGATGGGTCCTGTCAGCGCCACCCGATCAAAGAACTTTCCAGAGCTGCTTATGCGGTTTGTATGCATGCGGAGGACGGTACTTGCCTTGGAGAGGCCATGGGCCCTGTATGGGCCCACCTTCCGCAGACACCGCAGGCCTCTGAGTATGTTGCGCGTTGTGTCGCTGGACAGTTTCTTGCGTTGCCCTCTATCATTTATTCTGACTGCGCTAACGTAGTTTCTCACAGTAAGTTGCCGTTGCCAGAGCGTTACTCTGGCAGGAGGTCTTACTCGGGTATGATTATGCAGGCCAATAACTTCGAGGGCCGTTTTGTTGGAGATATAGTTAAAGTTAAAGCTCATCTGGATGTCAACGAAGAAGGCATCACAGATAGAGAAAGATTTCTTAGGAGGGGAAACGCTGATGCGGATGCGAGCGCCAAGCATGCACTGCAGCTACACCCGTCGGACTCGTTTGAACTGGCCAAAGTAGACAAGCTCATTGAAGCCGCCAGGGGCTATTGCATCCTTGCGGCCAATTTTCTCCCTCTGTGGCCCAAGCTCTCCCTCGATGTCCCTCTGGTCCCCCCCTCCCTCCCTGAGCGCCCTGGCAGGCCCTGCAGAGTAGGGCACCGTTGGGAATACTGGGCTGGTGTCTGGAGGTGTGCCGTGTGCCTCCGTGGGTGTAGGGGCTTGTCTCGCCCTCCCCCAGGAAGATGCCCCCAGGATTCCAAGTTGCATGCTGCTCGCCAGGATGCCCTAGGACACAGAACGGTGGCGTTCGACTGTTCTGACAAGTCTATTCTATTCATCTGCCTTAAATGTAAGTGCTACTCCTCGGGGGACAAGGTCCGAGGCCTAGGAGATGTATGCAAGAAGCCCACGAGGGCTGGACGCCAAGGATGGGCAGCCTTGTGTAAGGGCTTCCACCCCCTCTATTCTCGTTCTAGCAAAGGTGTGACTGTGGACGATACCACTCTGGTGCGTTGTTTCAACACTTTCCTGGCGTCAAACCCTGATTTTTCTGGTGAGGATGACAGGAGCTCCAATCCCATCAGCTCTGCTGGTGGTGGCCCCAGCACTCAGCGGGGACAGGAGCTCACGTTTCCTTCTGAGCCAGGTTCTCTCAGGTCGACGGTGCCAGCAGGAGAAGGAGGAGGAGGAGGAGGACGGGGTGGGGATGGAGGAGGTGGAGGAGGAGGATTATGGATGACTGAGGGATGGAGTTCCTGCGAGGGGCTTCGCGGCGGGTTGCTGGCGGCGCTGGCCGGGCCGCCGCCGCCGGGGGGACCACCAGCGTCGCTTCCGCCGGCGCCGGCGCGGCTCTGGAGCTCGTGCCTGCCGAGTGGGCGCTGCCTCCGTCTTACGCTGGCCCTCATCCTCCTGCTCCTCTTGCTCCTCCTGCTCCTCCTGCTCCTGCTCCTCCTCCTCCTCCTCCTCCTCCTCCTCCTCCTCCTCCTCCTCCTCCAGCCCCTTCAAATGCCCCCCCCTCCAACTCCTGCAGCTAACCCTCCCACCTTCAATTTTTCTTGGCATCACCACAAGGAGGAATGGGCCTGCATCGTGCACCGAGAGAGTGCTGAAGGGTGAGACGAAGCAATTGGAAAACATGGAGCTGTGCATCTAAAGGGAAGCACTACCACAGCCCGCGGATAATTGACTAGTCAACGAGGCTCGCTAGCAGCAACGCTGAGGAGAATGGGGGAGGATGGGGAAGGCAAAATCATAATCATCGTCATCATCTTCATCATCAGCCTCGTCAGCCTCTGCATCATCAAGATCATCATCATCATCACCACCACCACCAGCATCATCAGCATCACCAGCATCATCATCATCAGCAGCATCATCATCAGCATCATCATCAGCATCGCCCGCATCATCATAGTCATCATCATAATCATCAGCATGATCATCATCAGAATCATCATCAGCATCATCATCATCATCATCATCGTCGTCATCATCCTCATCAAGATCATCATCAGCAGCATCATCAGCTTCGTAAGCATCAGGAGCATCATCATCATCAGCATCATCATCGTGAGCACCATCATCAGTATCGTCAGCAGAAGCATCACCAGCATCAGCAGCAGCACGAGCAGCGCCATCATCATCAGCAGCAGCAGCATCATCATCGCCATATGGCTTATCATAAGTGTCACCATCGACACCAGCATCACCAGCAGCAGCTGGATCACGATCACCGCCTCAATCGGCCAAGGCCCGCACCCCTGCGGCGGCTTGTGCGGTCGACAGTGCTGACAAGACGGAGATGACACAGACAGCACGTTCTTTTTACGGCAGGGGCTCGACCACAAGAAACCTTCCGCAAAAAAAAAACCACCCTGAGACCCCAGGACGTCTATTGACTTCTGATGTGGGAGCGTCACGCTCACGACAGAAAAACCATCGAAACCCACCAGTGTAACAGATTGGGGTTGAGCAGGTTTCGTCAAGTCAATATCGGCCACCGCTGGCCCGATCCACCCCACTGCCTCGAGCGGCGGTGCGTGGGCGGGAGCGAGAGACACACCGCGAGTGCAACAACCTCAGCCTCCTGAGTCCGCGGTGGCTATACAAACAAATGTGGAAACGCTCTATGTCTCACCTCGCAGGCCCAACAGGGCCCCAACCCAATGTGTCCAGAAGCCTCTCAAAGAACATGGCTAGGGGCCCCAATCAGATTCCTGGAGGCCTCTCCGCAAACATGACCAGGAGGCCAACACAAACTACAAAAAAGGAGCCAAAAGGTGGGAACCGTTTTCTGGTCATTCCTCCCGTGCTCTATGCGCAATGGTGACCCAATAAAGAGCATGAACGAAGACTTCCAAAATGCCCTAGGCAAACAACCCCCCTAAACTGATTTAGGGGGGGTGAAACGGAATTTCCTTCGCACGAACCTCCATGTAAAGCATGTGGTTCGAGGGCCCACATCGACCAACCCTGCTGAGATGGTGGTGTATGACGGTATACGAAATCTACCAGAATCACGATTATCAGAAACAGCATCGTCCTCATCATCATCGACGTCAGAAACGGCATCGGTATCGGCATCGGAGTAATCATCGACATCAACAGCAGCAGCAGCAGCATCATCAGCATCACCATCATCCGCAGCATCAGCATCAGCATCAGCATCAGCATCATCATCATCATCATCATCATCATCATCATCATCATCATCATCATCAGCATCATCATCATCAGCATCATCATCAGCAGCAACAACAGCAACAGCAGCAGCATCATCATCAACATCATCAGCAGCAGCAGCATCCTCAGCATCATCATCGTCAGCAGCATCATCATCACCATCAGCAGCAACAGCAGCATCAGCATCAGCATCATCAGCATAATCAGCAGCAGCATCAGCATCATCATCTTCATCAGCATCATCAGCATCATCATCAGCAGCATCATCAGCATTATCATAATCGTCAGCATCATCAGCATCATCATCAGCATCATCAGCATCATCATCAGCAGCATCAGCATCATCGTCACCGTCGTCATCATCAGAATCTTCGACATCGTCATCATCATCATCATCATCATCATCATCATCATCATCATCATCATCATCATCATCATCATCATCGTCGTCATAATCATCATCATCATCATCATCATCATCATCATCGTCAGCAGCAGCATCATCATCACAACCACCACCACCAACACCATCATGATCAAGAACAGCATCAGCATCAGCATCAGCAGCATCATCATCATCATCAGCAGCAGCACCAGCATCATCATCATCATCATCATCATCATCATCATCATCATCATCATCATCATCATCATCATCATCATCATCATCATCATCATCATCATCATCATCATCATCATCATCATCATCATCATCATCATCATCATCATCATCATCGTCATCATCATCATCATCATCATCATCAATCATCAATCATCATCATCATCATCGTCGTCATCATCATCAGCATCATTATCATCAGCATCATCATCGTCATCATAATCATCATCATCATCACCACCACCATCATCATCATCATCATCATCATCATCATCATCATCCGATTCATAATCGACAGCATCATCGCACCAGTCACCGTCGTCACTATCAGCATCATCGTCGCTACCATCAGTATCATCGTGGTCAACATCGCCATCGCCATCGTCGTCATCAACAGTACCGGCATCGCCATCCGCATGGCCATCATCATCGTCGCCAGCAGCGGCATCATCATCATCATCATCAGCAGCATCGGCATCATCATCAGCATCATCAGCATCATCCGCATCAGCATGATCAGCATCAGCATAATCAGCATCATCATCAGCATCAGCAGCATCATCAGCATCAGTATCGTCAGCATCGTCAGCAGCAGCATCATCATCAGCATCATCAGCATCATCAGCATCATCAGCAGCAGCATCATCATCAGTTTTATCATCGTCATCTCATCCGATCGCTCCGCCGATCCTCTTCCAATTCCTACTCACCTTCCAGTCCGTCCTCCCGACACACACACACACACACACACACCACGCGCGCGGCGCGCGCCTTGCGGCACGCGCCCTGGCCTCCTGGAGCAAGCGATCCTCGCGGGAGGGCGGGGAGGTGGTGAGAGAGGGGGGGAGGCCGTGCCTGCCAACTGCCCTCGCCTTGCCAGCGTCCCTGCTGAAGCCGTTCGCCGTCACGACGCCTCTGCTGGCCGTGCACGGCGTCCTGAGGCTGGGCACCGCGAGGGCCAGCAAGTGCATGCTGCTGCTGTAGCTGTCCCTGCGCATCCACGCCACGCTCCTAGATTGCCGCGCCTGCGAGGAGGAGGCGGAGGAGGAGATAGTAGAGGACGGGGGGGAGGAGGAGGAGGAGGAGGAGGAGGAGGAGGAGGAGGAGGAGGAGGAGGAGGAGGAGGAGGAGGGGAAAAGGAGGAGGAGGAGGGGGAGGAAGGGACGAGGAAGAGACGAGGAAGGGGAGAAGGGGAGGAGGAGGAGGAGGAGGAGGAGGAGGAGGAGGAGGAGGAGGAGGAGGCGGAGGAGGCGAAGGAGGAGGAGGACGACGACAACGAGCGCAGACGGGGGAAGAGAGGGGGAGGGAGAGGGAAGAGGGGAAGGTGACAAGCTAAGTGCGCTCGCGCCATATCGGGTGTCCCGGCTCCCGGCCATGCACTCCCACTGCGCTGATTTCTCTCTGCAGGCTGACCCGTGTCGCTACGGACCTGGAACTCCAACAGGAGCCCAGGCGTGCTGCACGCTGGCAGAAAAAAAGGGGGAGTTGCGTGCACTGGAGGAGGTGGCGGAAGAGCAGAAGGAGGAGCAGGAGGAGGAGGAGGAGGCGGACGAGGAGGAAGGGGGAGGAGGACGAACAACAGCAGCAACAGCAGCAGCAGCTGGAGAGAAGGCAGCGGCGGGGCAGGAGGAGCAGGGGAAGGCGAAGGAGGGGAAAAGGCGGGGGGACGACAGTCACGATGAAGGAACAGTGGCCCGCACCGGGGGCGAGAGCGCCACTCGGAACGACGGGGGCAAACGCCGATCCTGAGATGAGGCCCACGCTGCCGCGGGAGCACTAGTGTGACAGGACCGAGAACGCTCGACTGGGAAAAAAAAACTCGGGGGGAAACGACACCAAAAAACTCGGACAAGTCCTGCCTGCAAGAGCATGCGCGGATGGGGGCGCGCCACTCTTGGGCGTCGTCGGGGGAAAGAGAGAGAGCGGCACCTGTACTGCGCACGTGCAAGAGAAGACGAAGGGGAGCGAGGAAGGGACGAGGAAGGGACGAGGAAGGGGAGAAGGGGAGGAGGAGGAGGAGGAGGAGGAGGAGGAGGAGGAGGAGGAGGAGGAGGAGGAGGAGGAGGAGGAGGAGGGGGGGGAGGGGGAGAAGGGGATCTCTTGGATCGCGAAGCTGTGGAAGCCGATGGCCTGTCGGCAGAGCGCGGCGCTGCAGCTCGCCACCAGCAGCTAGCATGCCACGCTACAGCGGAAGCGCCAGCTTGTAACAACCGACAACGCCAGGAAAAAAAACACGTCAGGACAACCGACGCCGCTGGACTGGCAAAACACGTCGGGAAAAAAAACCAATTGGGACCAACCCTGAGTGTAAAAACATGGTCGGATGGGGAGGCGCGCCACTCTCAGGACGCCTTCGGGGAGAGGGAGAGGAGCCCTTCAGGGCGTGAGTGGCTTAGAGAGTCCCACCAGCCCTCTGGGCGTAGGTGGTTTAGAGCGTTTCCTTTTCCACCCCTCCTTCATCCCCTTCGAGGAGGGGTTTACCCCTCCCCCCTACCCCCTCTCCTGGACCTGGACGGGGGGGTTCGCGAGGTGTCAGGGCGTCCACCACGGCCTCGGCGAGGAGACCAAAATCATTGATTTGACCAAGGTTTTGGCCCCATTTGGGCCTCCTGGGCTGCGACTGTAATCCGTAACCCCCCCTCCTGTGATCGATCTCACCCAAGCTGGCCCAAAGGTGGCCCCCAAAAGGCTCGCAAGGGTGCCCCAAGATGGCCCAAAGATGGCCCCAAGAGGCCCACAAGAGGCCCCCAGGAGGCTCTCAAGAGACCCCCAAGAGGCCCCAAGAGACCCCCCAGAGGCACCCAAGATGCTCCAAGAGGCCTCGGCAAGGATGCCGAATCATTGATTTCACGAAGGCTTTAGTCACATGTTGGCCTCGGGGGGGGGTACTGATTCAGATGACTCCACGAGCGCCTGGGAGAGCCCAAACTGACCTCCAAGATGGCCCAAGATATCCCAAGATGTCTCATAATGGCTTCCTCTGTGTGCTGCCCACTTCCCTGATCGAGGCAATTCCTCTGGGCATCGTTTCTGGATGGGTTGGTGGGGATTCTTTTCGTCGCAGCCGCAGGCGAGCGCGCCAGCAGCGTCAAGGGTCGAGCGGGCTAGAAGCTGGTGGGGATTCTTTGTTTTTTTCGTCGCGGCCGCAGGCGAGCGCGCCAGCAGCGTCAGAGGTCGGGCGGGCTAGGCGCGCGCCTAATTGCCTAGCGCACGGGGACCGACGGCCGAACGCTGGTGGGGATTTTGTTTTTTGGTCGCGGCCGCAAGCGAAGAGCGCAGGCGGCGAACAGGGTGTCCGGGCCGACGGGCAAGCCTAATTAGCTCCTGGGCGCAGCACAAGCCGGCCGGGCCAGCTCACAAGGCGGCAGCTGGGGCAGCAGGGCGGGGGCTAGCTGGCTGAACTGGCACGCCCAGGGAAGCTCGAGCAACGTGCAGCCCTGAGCAAAATGCCAGGAATTTCTGTGCTACGCGCTGCGGCGTTAGACCACTCAGGTGGGGGTGCGAGTTGCTCCCAGACACTGCAGTGGGGAAAGGCAAGGTACACACTGGTCCTGTCGCCAGGGGGGCGCCAAGGGCCAGGGCCGAGTCGACGGCGTAGACCTGCCTGGGCTCGGCAGGGACGGAACGAGGATGGAAGCACAGCGTCCGACGGAAGGCTGGACCACTCCGAGACGCCACGCACGTATCCAGGGGAACACACCAGTCCCGAGCAGGGGCAACGGACCGGCCCGAGGGCGATGGCACCAGGGGGCCCGGCCCATGGCCACACGGTCACGACGTGGGCGTCGCAGAGAACCGCGTATTGCGCGGAAAGGAAGCCAGACTGGCGGGGATGGACGTCGCCAGCGCGGCCAGGAGAGCAGGCACCAGGAGGCGACAGCGCCAGGGGGCGATCACCCACATTGCGATGCAGGGTCACGGGGTCCTGACAGGCCACCCTGCCCGTGTGGGGCCCTCCTGTGGTGGGGGCGGTGGGGACAGACATCACCAGCCGGCCACATGGAGGGGCCCGCCAGGGACACCCGGCGCCAGGAGGGGGAAAGGGAGAGGGGCCGGAGCCAGGGCCCATGTTCCAGGGTTGCAGCTGACGGCTGCTCAGAGTTTAGTATGTGACAAACCATATCCAATGGAACGTGTGGGGACACAGAATGTTCCAGGGTTGTGCTGCCACCTGGCACCCACACAGCCAGGACAGGTACGAGCAGAGCTTCCCGACGGGTAGCACTGTCAACTGTCGACCTGCTGGACCCTGTGTCGGCGGCCTGACGGCGTCACTGTACCTGCAAATCTGCCCATGCTACCAGGGGTGCAGCTAACGGCTGCTCAGAGTTTGGTATAAGCCAGGGAGCAGCTGCGGCGGCTGGGTAGGGACGTCCCACGGAAGCTGCCGCGCTTCGGCCTTGCCAGTGGGCCCGTCTGCAGCGCCGGGGAGCTGTCCCGCTCCTGCCACGCGGCCGCCCGACTGCCAGGGTCTGCCCGGGTTCCCCCAGACACCGACGGCGTGGTCATTCTTTGGACCAGTGCTGGACCCTACCCGAGCCTGCATCCTGCAGCCGGGATCCCCAATGGGCGTCAATCAGGTAGGGATCAGCACTCGGCCGAATGCTGATCCCTACCAAAGCGCCTGTATTCGTCCAGGGTGTCAGTCGGCCTCTTCGGATCCGCGTCGGCATGGCCCAAACCGGGGCGGACGCGCGGGAGCAGCCTTGAGCCAGGGAGGGTCACCCTAAAACGGGGCGGATTTTAGGGTGACCCTTCCAGCCCTTGTCGAAGCACTCGTCGCCCTCGACGCTGGTGCGGCACTCATCTGGCCGGTGAACTGCGCTATCGGACGCTCATCGGACTGCGCCGACGTCCAGGGCCTGGGACGAGCGACGGAGACCTGCCGTCGCCGTGCAAGTGCTGCTGGAAGTCCGCGAAGCTGGGGTTACTCGTCTGAAGGACCACTCCGGATGCTTTGGATGCCCGTCCTCGCCGCCCACTCTACCTTCCCGTAGCACTCGTCGCCGACGCCACTGGTGCGGCACTCATCTGTCACGCCGGCAACTGCTCCAACGGTCGCTCCTTGGCCTGCGCCGCTGCACATGGCTCGGGGCAAGCGTCCGGGGGCTTGTCCGTTGCCTGCAGGTGCTGCTGGAAGCCCTCGAAGCTGGAGTTACTCCAACGTGGGAGATACTACCCTGGGTGTGTTATGCCCGTCCGCATCGCCCACATCACCTTCTCGTGACATTCCTCGCCCTGGGTTGAGGCCTGGCATCCCTGGAGACTGCTCCGGCGGACGGCCAGATGTTCTTGTAACATTGCTACATGCATCCAGGGTGCCGCTGAGAACCAGGGTGCGGCGGACGGCTGCCAGGAGAACCGTAATCGCCCGAGCGCGCAGATCGAGCGGGGCACCGTTGCAGGATGGGCAGGTGGGAAACGTGGGGCCACCAGGCACGCGAGGCGGGTTGAAAGCCGTCGCGTGGGAAGGCCAGGGGTACGGCTGATGGCCGTCTGTACGAGTCCGCTTGCCAATACCTGCAGCTGAGGGCTGCCACCGCCGCCCCCACCTCCGCCCAACCGTAGTCGCCAGAGCGCGCAGATCGAGCGGGGCACCGTTCCAGGATGGGGAGGTGGGAAACTTGGGGCGACCAGGCACGCGAGGCGGGTCGAAAGCCGTCGCGTGGGAAGGCCAGGGGTACGGCAGATGGCCGTCTGTATGAGTTCGCCTGCCATTACCAGGACAGCAAAGAGGCGCGAAGCGTCACGATCCCAGAGCAGGGCCGACCGCAGGCACAACAACAGCCGAACGGGCGAATCAACCAGG